TGAGGAGTTTTTGAAGCGCTTATGCGTTAAAAAAAAGCATCTGAAAAGCTCAAGAAAATGCTTCCCTATGTATGTCTATGTAAGTTTTCACATTGGGGTGTTGCGCTTCCGTTGCGCTGTAAAAGCTCATGCTTGCAGCATCTTTGCAGCATGTTTGTTCAGTTAAAAAAAGCCCCCAAAACACCTCTTCCCATTTAAATCAATGGAAAATGCCTGAAAAATGCATGAAACGCCTGTAAAGTGCCTCAAAACCGTCCTTTAAAAACCGTTCAGAAAGTGTGGCAAAAGCGCGGTAAAAACGCCTATGCATTTTTGCTGTTTTTGCGGTAGATCAGTGTGAAAGTAGCCTTACACTCCGGTCACACTGATCCCGACTTTGAAATTGTACAACTTACAGTGAAGTCGCACGATTTCAAACTCGGATGACATGCCGATTTGAGTTGCGATTTGCAAGACATCTGATACAGATGTCTATGCAAATCGCACCAAAAGTGTATGTACTACTTTAGAAATCGGTGCTGCTCTGACCAAGTCGGAACCGCACCGATACGACCGCTCTAATTGTGGACAATAAGGTGCGATTTACCATGCGATTTGCAAGTTGTATGGCATGCAAATCGCATGCCAAGTCGCACCCAGTGTGACCGGACACTAACAGTGCTCTATTCTCAGTTAGCTGTCATCACTTGCGATATAGTAGGTCAAGCAAACTCCATGCCATGTAGGAGGATGATTCACACATGTGAGTAAGCCATTCGTACATACAAATAATGTTTTATAGCTATGAAAATGGGGTATCTGACTGTTCATGATTGCTGAAAAAAAGTCTGGCCCCTCTTGGAGATTAGTACAGACAGAAACATGGGCATGGGGTAGGCAGTGCCAGCCTCATATTAAACTACTTGCCTACCTGCATCATTTATAACTGGCTTCAGGTAAACGGGGATCTGTAGACCCAGGGGATCCTGTAGACCCAGGACTAGCATGGTAGGTGTCAGCAGGTTGAATGGAGGGAGACTAGTGAACATCCATTCACTGATCTCCTCTCTGGCGAATGAACACGGAAGAGATGTGCATTACATAATTTCTAGGTTTGGTCGTTACTTTCCCCAGCTGCTGTGAAGAAGCTGATCCCAGGCACCAGGTCGCCATGATGACTAGAAATTGGGTTCACACACTGCCTCCCATAGACTTTAATGCACAGTCACATCCTTTAGGTTGTATGCTCCACGAGCAGGGCCCTCCTATTCCTTATGTACTGAAATCTGTATTGTAATTGTACTGTTTCCCTTATATTGTAAAGTGCTGCACAAACTGTTGGCGCTATATAAACCCTGTATAATAATAATAATCCTAGAGACTTCAGTGCAAAGTCACCTTCTATGGGCTTCAATGCAAAGTCACCTCCCATACACTTCAATGCAAAGTTTCCTTCCATAGACTTCAATTCAAAGTCATCTCCAGTAGACTACAATGCAAAATTGCCTCCCGTAGACTTCAATGCAAAATGCCACCAATAAACTTCAATGCAAACTGTCTCCCATAGACTTCAATGCAAAATACCTCCTATTGACTTCAATGTGAATACACCTGTCAAGAGCAACCCTATATGAACACTTATCTCCGCATGCCACTCTATCGCTTGTGAGTCTGGAACGCACCGCTACAACTCTCACAGGACCCTTTTCATAATGGCACTCAAAACACAAAATGCGTGTGGATCACATCTCTGTGAACCACCTCATTTAGGAACACATAATATCTAGCCTGTCATGCGAATCTGTGAGTTTGAAAACACATCCAAAATCGCATGTGTGTGTGAACCAGGGCAGCTCCATTCATACCTGGGCATTTTGGGATTGCAGCAGAATCGCTGTGATCACAAAACGCAGGTTTAGGTGCCATTAAGTTCAATGGTGCCTAAAATGTGGTGCCGTTTTGCTGTGATTATCGCATATTTGTCAAGACCTGAGCTAATCGATCATAATTTGTGTTCCATTAGCTTCAGTGGGGAAGGGAAAGCATCAGGGGTCTAAGGGAAGGGAAGGCATCAGGGGTCTAAGGGAAGGGAACGGGTCTAAAAGCAGAGAAGACATCAGGGGTCTGTAAACCCCTAATGTCTCAATAAATAGAACCTATCATTACAGTATTACAATTCTGTCATTACAATAAAGTCAATTGTTAAAAAAGAAAGGAAAAAAGGTAAAAAATAAAGTAACATAAAAAATAAAACAAACTTTTTTTATGCACACGCACATAAAAACATAAAACACGTGCTGAGTGCACCTTAGTAAGAAAATGACGATTGTGCTACATATGTTACATTGTTGCTGTGAATGCATTATGTATGAGAGCAATGAATGATGACAGTTTAGAGTTCACACAGTTGTTATTTCTCTCATTCAGTTATTGAACTGGGTACCAACTCACAGCAAAATTCCAATTTTATCAGCCACACGCTTTACTCTATGTCTGTAAATCAGTAAGTGCACTCTAACTCCATGAGCATGCACCCTCAAAAGAAGTTGCCAATGGCTGCTACCAGGTTTCTTTCAAAAACTTAAGGAATGCCCATTGTTTCCAGATAACAAGTTCTCTTACCTCCATTATCATTCTTCTCATTAGATGTAATTGTCACAAAGTGGACTGTTTGACTCCAGTTGCTCCAAGAACCGTCATAGAACTCTCCATTTGGCTTTGATCGAACCCTTGCTTTATATGTTGTAGAAGGTTCTAAGTTGCTCTTTGATATATGTATGTAGATATCGTCATTCTGAAAACACTAAATGGAGAATTTAAAAAGTCCAGTTAAAGAGTTACACCGACGACACTGTTTACATTTTTAAATGGTCACATAACACCATTTTGATAGGGCCCAGTGTCAGAAAGTTGGGTCTCCGTTAGAAGTCATGGGTCTTACAGCAGAACAATGACCCAAAAGCACACGTCAACAAGCACCCAGAAATGGTTTAAGACATACAAAAAATTGGTACAAAGTGGTATACTTGGATTTTTCAAAAGCGTTTGACACAGTTCCCCACACACGGCTAATGTGTAAGGTAAAGTCTACGGGCTTGGAAAAATCCGTATGGAAATGGATAGAAAACTGGCTAAAAGACCAAATCCAGAGAGTAGTGGTTAATGATTCATACTCTGAATGGTCTAGGGGTGTCAGTGGTGTACCCCAAGGTTCAGTGTTGGGACCCTTACTTTTTAATATATTTATAAACAATATAGGGTCTGGGATTATAAATCCCATTTCAGCCTTTGCAGATGACACCAAGCTGTACAGGATGTCTCCAATTTACAAGTCAACCTCAATGCACTGTTTAATTGGGCAACTATGTGGCAAATGAGGTTTAATGTTGATAAATGTAAGGTTCTGCACTTGGGGGCTAAGAATATGCATGCATCATACATAGTAGGGGGTAAAACTGGGGGAATCAATGGTGAAGGATCTGGGAGTTCTGCTAGATCACAAGCTTAATAATGGCATGCAATACCAAGCTGCGGGTTCTAAAGTGAGCAAAATCCTCTCTTGTATTAAAAGAGGTATAGACTCCAGAGAGAGAGATATCATATTACCCCGGTACAAATCATTAGTAAGACCTCATCTGGAATATGCATTTCAGTTTTGGGCACCAATTCACCAAAAGAACATTGGGGAACTGGAGAAAGTACAGAGAAGGGCAACCAAACTGATAAGAGGCATGGAGGAGATCAGCTATGAGGAAAGATTAGAGGAACTGAATTTATTCTCTCTTGAGAAGAGAGAGTAAGGGGGGATATGATCACATGTATAATACATAAGGGGGGATATGATCACCATGTATAATACATAAGGGGGGATATGATCTACATGTATAATACATAAGGGGGGATATGATCTACATGTATAATACATAAGGGGGGATATGATCTCCTATGTATAATACATAAGGGGGGATATGATCTCCATGTATAATACATAAGGGGGGATATGATCTCCATGTATAATACATAAGGGGGGATATGATCTCCATGTATAATACATAAGGGGGGATATGATCTCCATGTATAATACATAAGGGGGGATATGATCTCCATGTATAAATACATAAGGGGGGATATGATCTCCATGTATAAATACATCAGTGGTTCATATAGTGAACTCGGTGTAGAGTTATTCCCCCTGAGGTCATCACAGAGGACAAGGGGGCACTCTTTACGTCTGGAAAGAAAGAAATTTAATCTCCAAACACGGAAAGGTTTCTTCACAGTGAGAGCTGTGAAAAATGTGGAATAGACTCCCTCAAGAGTTGGTTCTGGCCAGCTCAGTGGATTGCTTTAAAAAAGTCCTGGATTCTTTCTTGGATACACAGAATATAACTGGATACTAACATTTATAGGTTAAGTTGATCCAGGGAATATCCAATTGCCTCTCAGGGGACCAGGAAGGAATTTTTTCCCTGAGGAGCAAATTGGATCATGCTTTGCTGGGTTTGTTTACCTTCCTCTGGATCAACTGTGTGTATAGGATTATAACTTTTTTTTTTTTTTAATGGTTGAACTGGATGGACTTTTGTCTTTTTTCAGCCAGACTAACTATGTAACTATGACAAAGCACTGGAGAGCTTTGGTACATCAAAGATCAAAAAATTTTCTTCCTTTAGAATAGCATAGGGTTAAATCTACATTTTTGTGCCCTCTGTGTCTCATTGAGGACAATTTTCTTTACTTCCTGTCCTGTAGACACAACAGGAAGTGAGATAAATTCCTTCTTAGACTTTTGTTTTACCAGAACAAGTGTTCTGACTGGAAGATTTCCCCTGTATTTCTTGTCTGATGACAAATCAACATTTTGAATTTTCCTTAAACTGGTTCTATAGGCAGAACATTCAATGCCGGCGTCTCCCGGATTACGTGGGGTGCGGTTTATGATCATGTGACTGCCGTGTTTGGCTGTCGCAGCGGTCACATGATAGGAAAGCTCCCGATCACAAGTAGGTAAACGTGCCGGCCAGGGGCGGACTGACCATTTGGAAACTTGGGCACTGCCCAAGGGCCGGGGGTCAGTAGGGGGCTCCATGAGATGCCCCTGGTACCTTTTTCATAGGCTTTTTTGAGTTTGACAAGGACACAGGGGCCCCATGATCCCCTATTGCCCGGGGGCCCCATGAGTTGTCAGTCCGCCCCTGGTGCCAGCACAAGTTTGTTTACATTTGGTCAAGGCCCACCCGCTGGAGAGGCTGCATATTTGCGTACTCTCGGCCGAAAGAGGTTAAGGTGAAAAATCTTCTGCATGCAGCTCCCCTGCCCCCCCCCAGAGGCTCTCTAGGCTTTCTTCTCATTGGCCTAGAGACAGTAGCGAGAGATGTTGTCAATCACAGCCAGAAGAGGCTGATTGGGACTGCTCTGTGCAAACCCATTCTATAGATCAGGTAAGTATCACATTTTTCATTTAATTCTTCAATCACTAACTTCCATACCGGAGTCAATGATCACCAGGACAAACAGAGAGTAAAAATCTGACAAAGTTTTTAAAGCCGGTCATAGATGTTTTGAGCTCAGACACAGCAATTTGTGTTTAAGCACTTACCCCCCCCCCCCTGTCACATCAAGCCCAACTTTGAAATCTGGCGAATAACAGTGAAGTCACACGATTTCAAAGCCCGATGAGATGCCAATTTCAGGTGCAATTTGCAAGACATCTGACACAGATGTCTATGCAAATTGCACCAAAAGTAGTGCATGTACTATTTTAGAAATCTGTGCGGCTCAGAACTGCACCGTTTGACCGCTTTAATTGCGGACAATAGGCATGCGATTTGCAAGTCGCATGACCTGCAAATCGCATGCCAAGTCACACCCGATGTGCCCAGGGTATTAAGCTACTTAGGTGTGTTCCATATGCTCCAGAATTGAAGACTCGTCTAAAAATGTAAAAGGCATATAAAGTATTGCCAACTGATAATTTGAGGTACTGCAGTTTTATGGCTTAACCTATTTATATTTATTTATTCAACAAAACCTCATTTTTAAAAAAATAAAAATAAAATGGGGCTTTTATTGTATTTAGAAATAGAAATATCGCCAGCACACCGGGTTTCTCCAATATGGGTCCATGGCTTTTAATGTGTAATCACATAGTTACAAGGAAATTCAATGTTTTCGGAGTCTCGTAGGACCCCTTCATCAGGCATGTAACATCAAAAGCCTGATGAAGGGGTCCTGTTAGACTCTGAAAACGTTGCTTTCCTTGTAACTATGTGATTACACATTAAAAGCTTTGGACCCATATTGGAGAAATCCGGTGTGTTGGCGATATTTCTATTTCTTGATGTATCACTGTTCCAGCCGTTGGTTGCTACAGCACCCACTATACATACAGCCATTGTTCAATGCAGGAACGTGTGCGGTGGGATTTTGCAACTACACTTTTATTGTATTTGTGTTCACTAAAATTAATATTAGTGTACTTTTTCTTGAAAATATAGATTTGATGAACAGTTGAACAAATATTTTGTAAAATAAAAAAAAATGCAACTGCCATTTATTTATTCTATAGGGCCTCTGCTTTCAGAAAATGTATGTTTGGGGGGTTTTAAGTAATTTTGTAGCCAAAATTGTAGATTTTAGCATGTGTGCAAAAAAAAAGAAAAACAATTAAAAATTAGCTCTGGAGATAAAGTGGTCAATAATGGCAATTGACAGGTATTTTTACTTCTTAAACATAGCATGATTTACAGTTGTGGCCAAAAATATTGTCACCCCTGAATTTCTGTCAGATAAAGCACCACTTTGCCCAGAACATTGTGGCAATTACAGAAGTTTTGGCATTCTAATGTTTATTTATTTTCTTTGTATTGGTGTAACACAAAAAAGTGGAGAAAGAAAAAGCTTAATCTGACACATTCCACCCAAAAAGTCTAAAGATGGACTGGGCAAAATTATTGGCACCCTCAATTTTATATTTTGTAGCACCCCCTTGGAAACAATAACTCAAATCAATCTCTTCCTGTAATCATCAATGAGTTTCTCCCACCTCTCTACTGGAATTTTGGACCACTCTCTTCTTTCTCCAGGTCCCTCAGATTGGAAGGGTTCCTTTTCCCAACTGCTGTTTTGAGATATCTCCACAGGAGCTCTATGGGATTGAGATCTGGACTCATTGCTGGCAAATTCAGTCCTCTCCAGCGCTTTGTCTGAAACCATTTCTGGGTGCTCTTTGACATGATTTGGGTCATTGTCCTGCTGTAAGACCCATAACCTCTGACAGAGACCCAACTTTCTGACACTGGGCCCTACATTGCACCCCAGAATTCTTTGGTAGTCTTCAGATTTCATAATGCCATGCACACTGTCAAGACATCCAGTGCCTGAAGCAGCAAAGCAACCCCAAAACATCAGTGAACCTCCACCATATTTAACTGTAGGGACTGTATTCTTTTCTTTTTTAAAGCCTCATTTCTTTTTCTGAAAACAGTAGAATAATGGGCTTTACCAAAAAGCTGTAATTTTGTTTCATCTCTCCACAGCACATTCCCCAAAAGGATTTTGTCTTCCTCGGGTACATTTTGGCAAACTCCAATCTGGCTCTCTTAGCTACAGTGCCATGAGCTATAAATTTTTCGACAATGTTGTGCACAGTGGACACAGGAACAGTAAGATCTCTGGAGATGGACTTGTAACCCTGAGATTGTCCATGCTTTTCCACAATTTTTGTTCTCAAATCCTTAGACAATTCTTTGCTGCTCTTTCACTTCTCCATGCTCCATCTGGCACACAGAAACACATAACAGCAGGGGTGCTGATATTTTTGGCCATAACTGTATGTGGAGTAGATTTTAATGACAGGTCTGTTAAAATGTCTTTCAATATTTCTGTTTTAACACTTACCACTTTGTACTCTCCATTGCCTATATTTTCATTTCCACATACCTGCAGCAAACATAAGTACATAAAAAATATTTAATTCATTCATATTAATTAATTTATTCAAATAATAATGTAACAATGTCTCTTTTTTTTTGTCCAATTGGGGAGCTTTTTCTTCAAATCCTGCTTCATGGTGAAACAGAAAGTGAGAGGATATTTCTGAAAAGAAAAATTGAAGGTGAAAAATACCCCAAGAGAAAATGGACTATCTCAGCACCTAAAGGACAACATAGTCATAAAAACACTAAATTTTTATTAATACACAAAGAATTTTTGGATCACACATGTACATGAATTTATACTAAAATCACAAAGATTTAACAGCATGGTCTTATAATTCACAAAGGTTATGGTTGTTACAGCTCCACCCCCCATAGCGGTTAATGTTGACTCCTCTACATGTTTCGGGGAAATAATCTGCTTCCTCAGGAGGAAAAATCAAAGATTACTCTGAACTAGAAACATAACAGTTAAAATACAATATCTCATAGGGTTACAAATGACACGTTACATATTGGTATCACAAGATGTAGAGGAGACAACATTATAAAATATGATTGTTTTTATGACTGTGTTGTCCTTTGGGTGCCGAAATAGTCCATTTTCTCTTTGGGGGTATTTTCCCCTTCAATTTTTCTATAGTCATTTGGGGTGATGGCACCCCCACCTCATAACAATGTTTGTTATATAATTTCTGAAAAGAAATGAAAATACCTTCTTTTAGTGTTGTTACCAGAACAGGTGTTCCAGTTGGAAGTTTTTTCCTCTGTTCCCATTTTAGTGAAATCAAAAATGTAAAATGTCCCTTTACTTTTAGTCTGGATTACAATTGTAGCACCCCCTGATACTCCAGATGTATGGTGGCACCTCCAGAGGCAGGGAGTGGACCAGCATTTTACCCCAGGGCCAAAGTCCATAGCTACAATGGGGGACTGACAAAGAACATTAGGAGACCGTCACTTTTATATTTTTAAAGATTTTGTTGGAGAACAGTTATGGAGTTGGGGGTCCATATTACCAAGCAGATCACTTACAGACTCTCCAGATCCAAATTCAGGGCTTTTTTTCTCAGAGAATAGATGCAGGTACTCCCCCCTCCTCTGAATCACCTCTTGTCTCTGATCCTACTCACATACGAGCACTGTCTCTTGGTTCCATCCCCTAGCCACCTCCCAGTACTGCTTTTTTTAGAGATTAAAGAACCAAAAAAGCAATCTCCTTCAGCCAGCCACAATAGACTCCCCCAGCATCAATAGACTCCCTCCAGTAACAATAGACCCACCCCAGAAGCAATGCCCCCACCAGCAACAAAAGATCCACTAGTAGCCAGCAACAGTAGACCCCTCCTTCAACAGCAGATCACTCCCAGCAATAATTAACAACCAGAAACAATAGATCCCACACAAGCAACAATAGACCTCCCCAGCAACAACAAATCCCCCTGCAACAATAGACCTCCCCGGCAACAAAAGACCCCCATAACAATAGAGACCCCCCAATGACAATAGATCCCCTAACAGCTAGCATCAATAGACCATCCAGCAGACATTAGCACCCCCTGCATTACATACTTTCAGTTCTGGAAATGCCATTAGTGTTCCCCTGTGTTCCTGCTAAAAAAAGCCCAGTGCCAGAACCTTTAATCCAACCCGGCAACACTGTAATCTCTTTCTGTTTCCTTGGCTCAGTGCGTCCTCTAAGTGATTTGCCAAGGCCTGCGAGAAACCAGCCTTATTCCTGGCCTTCTCCAACAAGTGGTAGAACAGCTCCAGGACCACTTAGGACCTAAGCCCATATTCAGTACATGTTAGATCCCCACGCAGACTATTGGGCCTAATAGCAGAGCAAAATCCAGCAGCACCTCCCCAGGCCTCAGCCTGGGGGAAGAGAGTGATGACAAGACCTATCCCAAGTATTTATCCCCCTCTTCCCCAGCATGCACCAGTGGCCTGAACCTCCTATTGGGTTGGCTTGGTGGTCTTGTTATGAAATCTCCTATTATTGCCAGTGGTACCGGTGACACCTACTTGCTTCAGTGAGAAATCACAACCCAACTTGAGCTTAGGGAAAGACTAAGTGAAAAACCTATACAATCAGTTTAGGCTACCACCCAGCCAAAACTTAAATTTAGGTTGTAGCCCCTGTTTAAGACAGGGTGGCTACACTATGATAACCACAACAAACAGCAAGCATGAATTTTTCCAAGATGGACAAAGACAGCAATAAGAACTTGGCGGGGTCCTGCCCTAAAATTTATAAA